CTTTTGGCGTGCCAGTGGTGAGTAACGGGATTTACTCAATGTCCGTGGCGTATACCCGTTTATGATGTTCAGAAGCGTGAAAGGCTCAACCAGAAATAGCTTCTCTGTTTAAAAGACAAGTGACGACAAATAACGAGTGGCACACGCTGACAGCTTCACGAGTTCCCTCCAGTACGTAGCTCTAGTATACAAGGACCCGGAGGCACGTGCCCGCCTATTGATGGCTGCACTGCTTCAGCCGCTCAGCCACAGAGATGAGCGGCCCAAGGCTGCCGTGTCTCAGCACATACGGAAAGGTCTTGGAACCAAGAGAGGAGTGTACCCCTCCCCATCAAGAACTATGGTGGCTGCTTTTAGAGCAGCACGTCAAGAACCCGCTCCGCCAGAAGGCACGAGCTCATCAGCAGTCCATGGCGGGGCTCACCTGTTTCTCTGGTTGAATTGATGGATCAGTATGCCAAAGCTGTGGGCTTTGGCGCCCCAAATGACAGCAACCAAGTGGAGCACTGTCTTCCTCCGTTTGTCCGGCTTCCAAAGCCGGTCAAACTCGGTCTCCTGACGCGCTGTATAAGTGTGCCGTAAATGGCAAACCCCGTTGTGAACTTACTTGAAAGATGGAGTGATTATATATGGAGTGATTATATCACTCCATATATGGAGTGATTATATATTATTTCCTTGTTTTAACTGGGGCAAGAAGGGGAGTAAGCTGGATGTATACGAGCAACGAAAAAATATAATAAGGTACCGGTGGCAAGAGCAGAGAAAATTGTGACATGCGGTGCTATTGTTCCCAAGCGTGCCCATAGCGAGAATGCTAAGCACATTGCATTTTCCAAAGCAGGGGTGGCTGACAGAAAGCAGATATTTTTGCAGCTGACCCATCCCAAAGCTCACATTTTAAATAAATGCTTGTGCATTCCTTTTCGGCTCACTTGGCTATGCAGCTATACACATTTCATTTCTTTTTTTTCTTGGATTGCGTGGAACTGTATATATATCCCAGTTGCCGCGTGAAATCTGTTTGCTAGGGTGCTGGCCACGCCTGCTTTGTAAAATGGAATGTGCCTGAAACTCTCGCTATCGGCGTGCTCAGAAAGTCGACGGGAACAGCGCCACGTGCCGCAATTCGGGCACTCAGGCCACCTTTCACTTGCACTATTCTTTTTTCATTGCACACAGTCGTCCGAAACGTGCGTTGCATTCCACGTTTGGCACTCGTGAGTAGACCATGACAGCTTTGCAAGTGATAGCCGGATATCTGGCATTCGGCTAGGACAGGTGGACGGAACCACGGACGTAGGTAGAAATTGTTTTCGGGGGAGGGGGGCTTCTTTTTGATTTGAAGTGGGGGCCATTCAGGCAAATGGTCATTTTGCCCTCTGTATACAATGATGAAAAAAAGTTCGGGGGCGGGGTGCTCGCGTCCCGGAGTTCCACCCCCTGGCTACGCCACTGGAAGGAACGAGCAAGACACCACGGGCGCAGTCTTGTACCCCTAGCCTGTGCTCACTTTTTCGCGCACTTTAACTACACTCGTGTTAACCAACAAGCGCTCAAGAATGCCCTACTATCCTCTAGGGTTTTGAATGTATAGGCGTAAGTAAAGGTGTGCAGAGTCCGGCGTCGCGTCGCAGAATGAAACAACTATATCAGATCTATACCAGATGAATATCGCGGGAATTTTTTAGGGTGATCATAAAATGATAAAAAATCATTTGTGTTCGCACACACACAATCCTTATTCATGAGTAAGAGCTACATAAGTTCTTAAAAAACTTTTATACAAATATGAAAAAGCTATGCGCTGCAATAAACGTCTGCACAGTCACGGCCGCTGGATGGCCTTTTCATCCAGCGGCCGTGCAAAAGATGTGTTGGAGCAACAAACCATGATCACGACAGCACAGTCTGCCTAAATAGCCGTGTTCACAAAGTTAGTATAGCAGTAGGCCCGCCTTCGGACGGAGGGCACGTGGGTTCGAATGCCGCTTCGTCCGGAGCTTTTTTCGCCAATGATTTCTTTCTTTGTGCATTTTTTATATCTTTCTCTTGTGTTCCAGGAGTGAAGCAGAGGATGACGAAGATGTAGAAAGCGCGTACCGGTTCATACATGGTGATGATTTTTGTTTCCGATATACAAATTACGGTGAATTCAACAGCTTCGCTGTCAGAACATGTCAGAAACCTATAATAATCCTTCGTCTTATTGCCTACGAGCCGAAAGCGGTTTTTGTCATCACTCTCCAAAACAGACAACGCAAACACAGCGGCATCATGTATGTCAGACAGCGCCTGCACGGAAACTGGTGCATTCGTGTGCCTGGGAGCAATAAAGGAAATTGTAACAAAGCAGTCACACTTTGAGAGACTCTAAAAAAGACAGCCGTCGGTTTTGCGGACGTAACAAGCGTGAACTGGACGAAGGACAACACTGAAAAACTAGTCGCCACACAGCCGCGCGCCGCTGCAATAAACAACCAAACAAAATTTTTAAAAATGGCAGATCCCCCGCACAGTGTGAATCTATGATATGCGAAGCGCGAATGAGGAAGGTTTATATGTCACTTTAAAATCAGAACAACGTTCCGAGGTGGACGTAAATTATGGCGTACGTGACTTCCATGTTATGATTATCATGTGGACGTGTCATTTACCTTCGTCGTCTATTCTCGTCACGTGATACTCAATTTGCAATATGTGGAGCTAGCTTAACGACCACGAGCATGCTTTGCGTAACATGCTGTCATGTTTTACATGGCATGCATGTCATTATTGTCAAGTTTGGATTTGTCATTTACCTTCGTCGTCCATTCACGTCACGTAATACCAAATTTGGTACATGTGAAGCTAGCGAAACAGCCGCGAGCACATCATGAGCGTGGCATGTTGTCATGTTCTTAGATGACACACATGTCATGATTATCATGTTTGCACCAATCATATACCTTCTTCATCCATTGAGGTCACGTAACACTAAATTTGGTATATGTGAAGCTAGCGAAACGTTATCGTAGCACGTAGTCTTGTTTTCATGATACGCATGTCACGATTATCATGTTTGGAGGTGTCATTTACCTTCGTCATCCGTTTGCGTCACGTAATACCAAATTTGGTATATCTGAGGCTAGCGAAACGGCCGCGAGCGAATCATGAGTGTGGCATATAGTCATGTTCTTACATGACACGCATGTCATGATTATCATGTTTTCATCAGTCATATACCTTCGTCATCCATTCACGCCCCGTAATACCAAACGGTATAAGCGAAGCTAGCCAAACGACCGCGAGCGCACCATGAGCGTGCACACATATCCATGACTTACATGACATGCATGTCATGATTGCCACATTAGGGTGTGTCAATTGTGGTCGCTATGCAATCATGTCATACCATACAAGTTTTGCAACATGTCATGTACATGAAGAGGACTCGCTCTCTGGCATGCGTGCCGACCTTCGTCACCCATTCACGTTAAGCCCCCGCGATCTCTGACGACAGCGCAGCTCCGGCAGACTGGCTCGCCCTACGCCATCTCCTGCCGCCGACAAGAGCTCTCGCTGAGTGGTGCAAATGATGACATTCATCACATACCATGGTTTTCATGTTATGACTAGTCAATTATGATCTTCATACATTCATGTTATGTCATACCAATTTTGGTATCGATACCATGATCGGAACGGCCAGGAGAGCTAAATGTCGTAGGCTGATAGATAGATAGATAGATAGATAGATAGATAGATAGATAGATAGATAGATAGATAGATAGATAGATAGATAGATAGATAGATAGATAGATAGATAGATAGATAGATAGATAGATAGATAGATAGATAGATAGATAGATAGATAGATAGATAGATAGATAGATAGATAGATAGATAGATCTAGATTTGCGGATCCACTCAAAGTCGCCGAAGTTTGTTAAGAAATGCTTCGCAATTAAAGAACTGAGAGACACTTGTGCAAGAACAAATTTTCACGTGTTCCCGCAAAAAAATGTCATGTGCGTCATTGGTTATTTAGAACGGAGTGTCAAACACGCGGCCCGCGAGGCTCTCGTTGCGGTCCGCACGTTCATAATTGTCTTCGCCCCACATTTCTTTTTTAAACTTTTATATATATATATTCTTGAGATACATAGACCTGTTTGGTTTAAGGCATTATCTCAGTAAGGCATTCCCCATGTCCTTTTTGTTTTGAAACATAAAGTATATGAAACGGAAATTATATTTCACAATTGGTGTCCAGATGTCAGTATTGACAAGTTGTTGGAATACTGGCACCAAATATCCTTCAGAAATGACCTGCGTGCGAGATATCAAAAAACATGTCAGCGCTAATCTGGTAAAGCTCGTCTGAACTTGTCAATGACAAATTCAACGATGATTGCAGTTGCTATTTGAGCGCGGAAGCATTTCTTTTTTCTTTCGACCCGCCGGCACGTGAAGCATCGACATGCCTCGAATCAATTTCGTCGGTGCTCAATAGTTTTAGACCCAACGTCAACGACGACCAACACGCTGTACGCTGCTGACAAAACTTTACTGTTCTCGCGTTGTCGTCGCCTCGTAGAAGAAAGCGCGCGCTGTGTCTGCCTGCTGGGAAAGGCGGGATTTCTGGAAAAAAAAGTAGTCTTCATGGAGAAACATGGAGGAAGGAACACTTCTCTAGAGAAAGAACAACTTCTCTTACGACACTTACCCATGGTGGCCCGCGTTTACAAGTGTGATTCCAAAATCAGTTGCCAATTTTAAAACTTGTTTTCTTAAAGAAACTAAATGAATTTCTGTTGTATAATTTGGCACAAATCACCATGATACCGCCAAGAACACATATCCAAAGTTTCAATTAAATAAGTGAATATCTAAAAAACGCCGGGTTCACCTCTAAACCCTGAGACTATTCTATCCAAACCCTTTAGCAGATGGCAGCAGCGACTACCCCGCCACAAGGAGTACTGGAATAACTAGCTCCATTTGAAGTCTCTTCCGGAAGTGAGGTAACGCAGGCGTGCCGCACCGCCGGGTGACGACTGCTGCTCCTGCCGAGATCGTGCTGCCGACAAGTTTCGCTTTTCCTTTAACAAACTGCCGTGAAATCGGATCAGGATGTCGACACCTGACGAAGGCACGCCAACCTTTAGACAATGGATAGCGCGGCTTCCCCCGTTCACGGCAGACAACATCTACAAAGTGTACCTGCCAATCGCTGGAGCAGTCAGCTACTGCACGTTTTCGGTCACCGTTTTCATACCGGAGCTGTTATCGAGGTAAGTTCCAAGCGTGCTCCCCCTACTCTTCAAGTACAAACCTTGCTTTCTCAATTGGTGTCCAATAGCAAAGTGTCTTGCGGCTTAGATTGGGAGTTTCTGCTGATTTCAGCTAGTGACCTAGGACGCTCTTTAGCGGTCATTCCTGAATGAAGCGGAAGGATAGTGACATTTTATGCGATATCCGTGATTGTTGGTTTTTTCGTGCAGGACAGTCACCTTTTAGTGTTACGTGTTGTCCTTGAAATTTTCATGAGTTTGAAGTTTTTTTCCGCAGTGACCAGTAATCAGTAATCGTGCAAGTGAAGACGCGGCGTTCGCCTTGTCTGTAGCTACATATACAGAGAGGACTTTTTAACGTTTCTCAGGATGCGCCTGCTCAGCTTACTGATTTTTTAATTGCTGATTCCAACTGAATTTCCATCAAGGCATGTTTGTTACCGTAGGAGTACCTATTCACAGATTGCTGCAAGAGTGATGTGATAGAGCTGTCATAACCTCCAACTGAACTCAAAGCTGTTGCGCTTACCCGAGTGCCCGAAGAATCAACAACAAACTGCAAGGTGGAAGAAATATAGACGTGAATACCACAAAATAAATAAATAAAGGTGGAAACAGGTGCACTTACAAGAACTAGGAAGCTGCGAATCTGGAGCACTGGACAAATTCCAAAGTTTAAAAATGTATGGTGTGCCAGGGACAGAGGTTCCATGAAGTTTTCTGTCCAACTCTTCTTATACGGGATAAATTGACTCAGTGAAAGCACACAGCATAAGCTCTGCATACTTCGTTCGATGTATAGCGAGATGCTGGTGTGCAATGAGAGGCACACTGAATTAGACATAGCTGAAAAGGCACACGACACGAGCTCTGTGCACTTCATTGTACATCACCCACAATGCTAGCTTAGAAGGTAAGGTGCTGCGCTGTAAAGCCTGAGAAGGTGGGTTCAATTTCTGGCCGTGGTGGTGGAATTTCAATTCGAGAGAATGCAACAATGCTCATGCACTAAACTTAGATGCATTATGCTCATGCACTAGACTACATGCACTTAGACTTACAGCCCAATATCAAGATACGATTATGAAACAAGCTCTAGTGAGGCATTAGATTATTTTTGGTGACGTAGTGCTCATAGATATCAAGCATAACGGAAGAAACACAACACAGATACTCTGTCTTATCTGCTTAAGTGCTTAGCCAATTGTCAGCATTAGTAGGGGTTATTGCATTTAGCCCACATTGAGATGCAGCCTCCACAGCCGGGAATCAAACCCACAACAATGAACTTAACAGCACGACACCCCAGCCTGTTTACACCACACACATTTATCACAGGTTCACAATAGCTGACAGCAATATCACATGGGAAGATACTCTTGCATTGGGCAGCCAGCTGTGAGCATTATGTGAACATTCACAAGCCATACTTTGGCCACTCTTAATATGTGGACATTGTTCTCTTTAGTGTGCTTTCCACTTGTAACTTTTAATGCTGATCAGCCTGTTAATTGAAGTTTCTTCTTCAGACAGCAGTTTTATTTCAGAAAAATGATTTCTTAAAGGGACACACTAAAGAGATATGATGACTTGGTTTGTATTGACCATGTTTTTCTAATGCCATATTTCAATGCCATATTTTTCACCATTAAAGTTCATTATTAGCAGAGAAAGTCAAGGCTGAAGTTTCATTTTGAAATTTTGCACTAAAATCTTCGTGGGTGTCATAAAAAATTTCAAAATGCATTTTCGGAAACTTCGTATGCCAAGCCTATGGCACCCACAAATTACGACGTACTTCATATTTATCGATTGGAAGCTACGTGGGACCCAGTGGATGCCTTCAAAATTTCTTATGTTACGGTGCTTAGTGCGGAATCTCAAAGTGGTGTCACTATCCACATTTTCTTTTTGCGCGCTTTCTCACTTACTAGCGTCATGTCGCGGTAAGAGTGGTATTTTTGGGTTTGTGAAATTTTACTTTACTAATACGGGAAAAATCGTTTTGCTCTTTAGTGTCCTATTAAGTATAAAAAAAAGGGAAAGATAGGCAAGTTCACAGCTTAGCTGTGAGCTTGCCCGTCTTTTGGGATTGAGCCTGCGATTTCTTTTGATGAAGCATTATTGACCATCGTGACAGCCCTGTGTGTGCAATAAGACATGCATGTGCTTTTTAGTGAAGCACATTGGCAGCACAAGGTGCTACAAGGACTCTTCAATTGTCAATATGTTATATTTTAGAAAAGTTGGCACCTCTTCCTATAAGGCTCCTATGATGTGGACATGAGAAGACAAGGACAAAGGGAAGAAAGTACATACATACTGGTGCTCATTGCAGTCTGTCATTGAAAGTATGTACTTGGTGCTTAGAATACTTTGTGCAATGGTTAATATATATGCCATATTATGTCAAATTTTGAATTGTTACATTTGTTGTCTGAAAATTGCTCTTATAGTTCGCTCGATAAAGCTCTCTTTAATGAGAAAAAAAAAGCTTCACACTAATATAGCTAGTACTTTCCCATAAGCTTGTCTTGTCGACTGGTATCTTGTATTGGCCCTTAGTATTTTTAGAAGATTTTACATAATCTCAGTAAGAAACTTTGTTAACTCCAGTACTATGATGGTTTTGCTACAAGTGTGTTCGAAGTAAAATATAACAAATCTGGATAAAGCAAATTATTCTGTCAATTAAATGGACATAACTTACAGAGCAATGCTCTTGTAATACAATTGTTGCATAAGTACAGTAGACTCTCATTGAATGAAAATCTGTTAAATGGAACTGCTGCCTAAATGTAACAACTGCTTCCAGCACAATTGGTTTCTTACTTGGAGTCTCCACTACTGTTCATCTCTCGGTAAATTAACTCCTGTTAAACGGAAAACATTTTGATTCATTCATTTATTTTACCTTAAAGACCCCGCAGGGGTGTTACATAATGGTGGAGTATACAATATAAACATGAAAAAAAGTTACGGAGCCTGTTCAGAAAAAAAAATCTTGTTAATGCGTCCGTGAAGGCAGTTGAGGTGGCGATGGAAGCGATGTGGTGAGAAGGCTGTTCCTCCCCACATCGCTTCCGTTGGTCCTGTTCCTTTAGGGTCCATTTAAGGAGTCTACTGTGATTAGTCGTTAGACATACCTAGCTTGGGAGTGTGCGTTGCCAACACCAGAAAGACACTTGCTGCTATAAACGGGGGAGAGACCTGCTTTTAAAATTGTTGCTTAATTTGTTTGGAGCATGTATGTACGTGGGGAAGTGATTTTAAATGTAAAGAAGAGAAAAGTGAGCCCCGTAGCTGTCTCTCAGGGGGAGGACACCCCAACAGTAGCTCACGAGGGGTGGGAGTAAAGGAGGGATTAAAAGGATAGGATTGAAAGGCAAAGAGATAGAGAGAGAGGAAGGAGAGAGCGAGGCACGGGGACAGCGAACGACGGAAGTGAGGAGAAGATAGGAAAGATGGAGATGGTCGCAGGAGTCCGAGGACGGGGCACCAGTGGCGAGAGCTCTTGTCGGTGACAGGAGATGGCGTAGGGCGAATCCAGTCGGCCAGAGCTACGCTGTCGTCGTCGTTGGGGGCCGATGTCAGGAAATGGCGTAGGACCAGCCCATTAGGCCAGAGCTGCGCTGTCATCGGAGATTGCGAGGGCACAACCGGTCAGCACGGAATCCAGCGAACAACTTTGCTCGCTGGGGACTATAAGGAGTGTGTCGAAGAGAAATGCTGTTGTACCACGATTTTTAGTGATGCTGGGAAACCATTCAAGGCACAGGCCCACATTATCCTTACTACACAGTGTTGCCTATATATTCATTTAACCACTGTCATAGATAGACCACAATATTTTTGATGAAAGTGCTTTGGCTATTGGGCAGGTTCACCAGAACTTCTGGAGACAGCTGGCCCAGTGAATCTGACTTCTTGTCACTGAAGTCGCATGCACACTTGCAAGTACTTTTTTGATGCCTTGGAAAGGGCCATATGAGCAAGCACACATGCTGTGTGGCTCTGTGATGACGAAACTTTAAACATTGATGCCTTGCTGAGTATATGGCATTACAAGACAACACACCGGTGTGCTTATAATCCAGTGAGGTGTGCTTCGTTAGAGTGGCTGTATAATGTTGATGGCCATATGAATATAGTAGTCCATCAAAGCACAAAATAACAAACTGTAGCGCATGTCATAGACCAATATCAGACTTTCACATGTCTGTGGGTAATGCATAATCTACCGCTAACTTAATCTTCACTTAATCTGCGCAGTTAACCCTATATTTGTCCTTGTGAATATGCCTTAATGATAACATCCCATTGCAAAGAGTGGTGCATATTGTGTTTATGATGCTTCACAACTGGCAGTTCATGTATTAGTGTCTATTGTTTAGGTATAAAATATTCCATTTAGGTTCTGCCATTTCATTTCACATTTGATGCATGAAATGCTTGTCATTCATGTACAAGGTTGAATTTCTCAGCAGTTGTGTTTGCAGATGTACATATGTGATATTTGAATGCCTCTTCTGTCCTTGTGCAGGCTGTACCCTGACCAGAGTGTGACAGTGGCAAACTGTCTTCTCTTCAATTCACATCTTGGCACCGGGCTGTACGTCTACTTTCGTCCGCACATGACACGAGCTCCACCGTACCACCGCATCATGTACAGTGCCTACCAAGCAGTTCTCTTCAACTTTGGCTCAGTGCTTCTTTGGGCTGTCACGAAGTCACTTCTACCCAACTCCAACCTTGTGCGCTCACTTTTTGCGGCTTCCACTTCAGCTTGCTTTCTTGCCATCGGCATGGAGTACCTAGAATTCCTCGACACTCCTGCGGAGGAGGAATTTTCACCGTCAGCAACCTCGCCACGCTGCTAGGAGGATGTGTTACCATCTTCCCATAGAAACATGCACCTCTACCAGCTTGAGTTAGGTTTTTGCTGGTGCCTGTCAATGCTGGCATGAATGGGTCTTGGTATCAGTAAGATGTTCCGCAGTGAGATCTGTTTGAGAAGTCAAGATTGCTTTGTCTCTTGTCTAAAGCTCCCTGTAAACCTTAATATATGTGTCTTGAAACTGCAGGGATCATAAGGTCATTACCATTTATGGGCCTCATCTTGAGTGGATATGAATTACACCTGCGTTTCATGTTGCACACACTGTCATAGTGAGTTACTACCTATTTTCTGAGAGCTGTACAAATATATTTTTTAATTACTGGTCATAATGTGAGATTCACTTTGTAGTGATGTAGCTGATTGAAGACTGTAATTGAAGGCAAGTTATTGCCTGAAAAACACACTGCTATGTGTCAGTGCCTAAGCATCGGGCCCTTGTCCGTGACTCAGAGTGTATGCAGGCAGCTATGCAGATGTGTGCCGGTTTTGGTAGCGTGTAACTGTGAATGCAGAAGCTGACTAGAACTGCCAATTCTTGAAATTTGTTTCTGCATTACTATTATTGAAGACTAGGTGTAGTCCCTGTTGTAATGCTTTATTAATCTTTTTTGCATTCTTAAGGAGACTATGACAACACAATCTTTGCCAATAATTCTCACAGATCCCACTTCATGGAGCTTTACTCTCTGCAAAATAGCTCACTAGCAGACAAAAGATCCTAAGAATTTCCGTGCTCTCACTGTGGTAGTAGTGAATGCATAAATCATTGTTTCGTATAGTGTGCCTGTTTTTTTTTTATTTATAGTGAATCTTTTGTTTGCTGGCAGTTTTCTAAAAAAAAACTGCTGGTTGTTTCTCTCTTGGCCCTCAGCACAAAGGTCAAGAGGGTGCACTTGTCCCAAGCGTGCTTTTATCACTACCAGCATTGATGGGCACTACTGTCCATATAAACGTCAATCCTGAACACTTGCTTCTGTGACATTGGCTCAGCTTTTGAAGACCATAATTGTAGAGTTGTTAAACCTGTTGCATGTTGATTGTAGATGGTCTAGAGCTTAGGTGATTTTGTGTAGTTGGGCAGCTTACAATTTCTGTAAATAAAGCAGTTTTAGAACGAAACATGTGCAAACGTTCGCTTGATCCAAGTACTTTAACTTCCAACGTTATGTTCTTTCAAAAGGAAAAAAGAAAGGCCACATTCAGCTGAGCACAGCAATTAAAGTAATGGTGATAGTTGAACCGAAGCAAAATAGAATTGTTATTCTCACCCAGTGCATGGGCAGCGCAGATGTGTAGGGTGTCTGTTTTCAAGAAAAATATGTTACGTATACCAATTGGCCTCCAGACATCAGTCAGGGTGGTTGCCTTTGTAATAGCACAGACTTGCAAGTTAGTCATGAAAAGTAGTTTGTATTTCATGAAGTAATGTATGTTTGATAAAAAGCAATTGTGAGAAGCACATATGCCTCATTAATTAACATGTGTTTGTATGATATAAAATTTGGCTTCTAGAAAGTACAGAATACTTCGTGGTGGCATGGAATAAAGAAGAATATTAAATATTATGAAAGTGTGTCACTTTATTTGGGCAAATATAACATGTGAGACCAATATAATAGAACAGTTGACCTTCATTCAGAGTTTATAGCACTAGCCATTATGGGCAGCTTTTAGTCACATAAATATTGCATTTGGTAACCCTTGGTGCTTTTTCTAAAAAATCTTACATCATTGTTTATTTGAAGTAGGCACAGAAAAGCCTAGCTTACCTTGCAGTTTTTTGGTCATCTTTGTACTATTGAATTCCAAGTAAAAATAGTTTTGCACAGTACATAAACACTTAAGGCAAGAGCTAATGAAATTCAAGCAGCAAAAGTTGAGTATGAAGCACCACAGTTCATGTAAACTCAGGTTTAGTGCTCATAAAGTAACCATTATAACATCCACTGCTGTATATGAGGCAGCTATAAAACAGTGCCCCGCCGCGGTGGTCTAGTGGCTAAGGTACTCGGCTGCTGACCCGCAGGTCCTGGGTTCGATTTCCGGCTGCGGCGGCTGCATTTCTGATGGAGGCGGAAATGTTGTAGGCCCGTGTACTCAGATTTGGGTGCACGTTAAAGAACCCCAGGTGGTCAAAATTTCCAGAGCCCTCCACTACGGCGTCTCTCATAATCAAATGGTGGTTTTGTGACGTTAAACCCCACAAATCAATCAGCTATAAAACAGCAAAACAAAGTGGAGTTAAAAAAGAAGCAAAACTAGTTGGACAACCATGGTTCTAGGAGTAGATAGATATGTTGATGCCGTGAAAGTGCTGTGCTTGCCACTTGCAGTACATCGACATCTCGTCTATGTTTACTCTTGTGAAGCAAGGCTGTTATGCTTTTTTTTTGTGCTCTTTGCTTGCACTGCATGAGTAATGAGAATTGATTGTTGCCCGGATAAACAAAATGGTGGTCTTTTTAATGGAGAAGCCCTGTAGCAGTAAATATCTTCTAAACAGGAATTTCGTGCAGTCTCTGGTGCATAGATCGAACCTAAGTGTTCAGGCTTGTGGTTTGGACTGTACACTTTTACATGCTACAAAATGCTGGTATCAAATGGCCTGTTATATGCCATGTTCAAACACGTGTTCCATCGCATGACTACAAGATAAGTGCACATTTAAATATTCATTCCAGCCTTTCGGTACCATGCTTAGACCATTTGCCCAGTTCTTCAATGTTCAACTTTCAGCAGCACAGAAGCCAAGCCTACATTGGCTGCAAAAAATTTACTTCAGCTTCTCTACAGCGCACAACCATTAGATGGTTCTTTTTTTATTTTTACACTTAAATGATCATAATTCATACAAACTAGTTAGTGCACAAGGGCTTGACTTTGCATGTTGGTACATGCAGAAATTTAAGCTAGTTTCTGAAAGGGGGAAACAGCTATGATCTGACACTGTGAAACTTTAGGGTGGTAGGTCAGTCCACTTCACAATCTAATTCTTTCTGTTGAATTTAGTTCCCTTTATGTGTTTGTATTTTGTGCCTCGTAAATGCGCTTATCTTCAGTGCTATTTACATGAGCTTCACTAAGTCCAAAAGCTGTATAGAACCAGGCGTCACATATACACTGTTGGTTTGGTCACAAATAGATCGTCTGCCAAAGGTATACGTATCCCTTCGGCAAACATTACCATCTCTGCCTCTCCAAGTTCCTGTACTTCTGCAACAGCTACAGGGCTGGCTGAACTATTGAAAGCACTTCTGTATATTGAAGATTAGACACTTAATTCTCAGGTGATAATTTCCAATTCGAGAGTGGTACTGCAATCTCTGAAGTTGCTGCGCATGCAACAACATTGTCTTGGATCTAGGTGGTAATGCCCATGAATTACGCCACAACATCATGCTGCGGTGGTTACCAGTTCACTGCGATATATAAGGCAGTGATCCTGCCGACTCTGTAGCAAGAGCAGTACATTATACGGCATCAGACACAATTAATATAGTACCTTCCTCGATAAAAGATGCAACTTCGGTGTCTGTGTTGTTTTAAATCTGCAGCCAGCAATGTTTATGGCGTGACACAGGAAACCAGTACAAATTCCTGTGCAAAATATACCCATCTTGTAGCTTTTAGATGCTGCAAAGATTAAGCAGTAAAAATGAAAATTGCTTGCACTTATAGATGTGTGTGTGTGTGTGTGTTATTAGTGTGGTCATTGTATATTCTATATTCATTAAACAAAACCACTATATTTAGTGACCAGTTTTATAGCAACACAACACAGTGATCTTGACCATTAGAACATACCAGTTATGCTGAAAATTTTGATGTAGGATTTCAATTTGTGAGGACTGTACTTGGTAAGAGCTTCTAAAATGATTATTCCTTCTTTCACAAAAGGCTTTCCGTGAAACCTTGCCAAAGTGAGTTTGCAAATGGGGGTATTTTCATTTCCTGTATTGTTTGCCATCTCTGTGGTAAGTGCAAGACCTTGTTGGCTGTAAATATGCCATTTTATTCTCGGATGTTGTCTAGGTAAGTGTCAAAAAGGGCTGGATTTGAAACTCTTCTACTGATAGCGCCTTATTATGATAAAATAGCTTCCAGCATGTTTTTCACGTAGACTTGCAGACCATGCAAACAATGTCAATCTTGCACTGAAAAAACAGAAAATTTTTTTTTTCTAAAAAGTGCACTTCAGCCAAACTATTGTGCATCAAAAAGATATCTCTCCACTTTTGGTCAAATGTTCAGCTTCACTTATATTTAATAAGCTCACTTTGTGTAATAATTGGCTTTAGGCTATGTTGAAAAGTACTCGCACGTGTGCTTGTCCTACATTCTCCTTGCTTTCCTGTTTCAAGGACGTGATGACCCTGATGCTAGTAGGTTTATGACAATTCGCGTGTCTATGCAAGTGAACACAGAACATTGTAGAGCTGTGCAAAATGTATTCCTATGGCTTGCAGTAGCGAGCTTCTGGTGTTGATGCTCACATTTGTGTACGCACATACATACAGATCAAAAGCTATCCGTCCATCTGGCTAATTGCAGAGTGCGCCCTGTCGGACCATGTGAGCATTTTATTTGGCATCGCTGTTGACAAATTCTGAAGCATTCCATGGTATTTCATGAGGTACTATTACTAGTACTGTTGCAATGATGAACGTATGTGCTTTACTCACAGACTGAAGTTTGATTCTCAGGGCTAATTATTGTTCGAATCTAATGATCATACTTACATATCCAGCATCTCCAATTTGGTACAGTTCATGGTATAGCTTTGTGGGAGATTATGACGTGGAGCTGCCTTAGAAGTACTCGAATCCATCAAGGTAGTAAAAGAGGCTTTATTAACAGGTAGGAGGCTTGGAGGACCCTGCTAATAGTTGGAGGACCCCGTTTCTTCTCTCATGCTTGCTGGTGCTTCTTCTTCGTTTGGTGGTCCGCCAGCGCTCGCGATAGAATTAACATTCCCGGCCGCACAGTAAAGTTGGTCGCACAGTTCTAGGTGCTGGAACTTTCAGGCAAACCTTGTTACGTCATTGCCTCCTCATTGTTCGACGGTGAAAGAACGGAAGTTACCACCCAAAGTTCTTGACTGAAAGATCTATGTGAAATTCCGTAATTGTCTAGCCTGATTTTTCCAATGATCATCAGCATTCTACTATTAAAGCTGCCCCATCATTTAGCAAGCCTTCTCTTTTCACTTAGAATGCAGACTGAGGACATCTTTTCCCGCCAGCTCACGGAAGAAGGCAATCAAGTCAACAGGCCTCTCACTCCTCTGTTTTGACTCTTCCGCCTGCTTGTGCTCTTTGGTAACACAGTCTACCAAAGCCTTCCCGTCTAGGTTGCCGTCCTTGTAAGGGAGGTTTGCTGTCTTGGCACCGATGTCCACAGTATAATAAAAAATTCGCCTTCTGCGGCAAGCTGCAAGAGACGACCTCGCTGCTTTTCGATGGCAGCATGCTCTTGAGTGAGCAATAGCTTGTTCGCACCTACTGCCTGTGACGACTCTTCTGGATGGCGCTCCAGGCTAGCCAGTCGTGCTTCGCTTCCCGTCGTCTGCTGATGCGGTTCTTCCGCAATGCCTTCTGTCTGTTTCTGTCCTTGGACTAGCTCACCATGGTGTCGTTTCTCAACGATCTTCTGCTGCATCTTGGACACCAAAGTGGTTGCAGGGCATAGCTTCTCTTCTGCTGCAATCAGCAGCTTTCGAACCTCGTACAACTTTTTATTCAATTGCTGTTCTTGTGACTCGCCCTGCAGTACCAAGTCTGCCTGAGCAGCTTTCCGCATGCCTTCTTTAAGTTGATATTCCAATTTTTCGTGGCGGTGTCCTTTCTCGTAAAGCAGCAATTGAAGTTACATTGTCTTGGTCGCATTATCGCTCTGTTCCCCTTCGCGGTTAATTCTCTCCTCACGCAACATTGATTGCAACTCGGTCATCTTGGCATCCAGTGATGCTGCCTGCTCTACGTCACTCCGAAGTTCGACAACTTGACGTTGTGCAACGTCCTTCTTCTGGATGAGCCGCTTGCAGTCAGCGTATAACGCAGTCATCACGTGGGTCTTTTCTTTCAAAAGGGTGGACGCCGTCTGTATCATGGGGTTCAGGGGTTCTCGGTATGGTATACCCAGAAAAGCTTGCTTCTTCTCCACCATCAACCATTGATGCCTTCCTTTGTTTCGAATTCTTTGCACTTTTGTTCTTAGTAATTCTTTCTGGGTGACACATACGAGACATGGCGGCTTTTGCACTTTGAGCATGAGATTCTCCAGTTACAGTCGCGTGCCCTGTGGTGATTTGTGGTACATCGGAAGCACCGTTTATCACTCGACAGCACTTCCTTCTTCTGTGTCAAGGACATGTCGGTAGGACATGCTTCTATGGAGTGCTGCTTCGATGTGCAGAACACACAAATCTTTCTTTCGTCTTCGAAATCTCTAGTGGAGTTTGTTAGCAAAACAGATGAAGTCGGGTGGTCCCAGCTGCGACTTTGGGCTGGCTGGTTCGAAGAATGTTGACTACTGCTGTCTCGTCCGCTGCTATCCTTGTAATCAC